CCTTTCTTCTTTTGAGAAAAATATGTTTCAACTAAAACTAAATATAAGCAAGGTTTACATGTCAGCTGTTCGATATGAAGTTACTTGCTCAAGATGGAAACGTACATGTGAGATGGATATGTATAATAAAGTATTTGGAGGATAATGTAAAAAAGAAAGAAAGAAGCAAGGAAGGAAGCAAGAAAGTAGGGAAACAGAGGCAAGAATGAAAAGGAGAAGTAGGGAAGAAGAGAAAGAGTCACTAGAGGAGATAAACTAACCCAGATTTTTTCATTTCTCGGATTTTAAATTGCTCGTCTTTTTTTTTACGTGTTTTTCTTTTTCCACTTCTTCTTCTTCTTCTTCTTTTTCTTCTTCTTCTTCTTCTTCTTCTTCTTCTTCTTCTTCTTCTTCTTCTTCTTCTTCTTCTTCTTCTATCATTAGAACTGCAGAGCCGCAAGAACACTAGATAACTTCAGTCGAAAATCACACGTTCTCTACGCGTCGTCTTCTTATCTTCACACCAACCAAACACAGAATAGAATGTTGATTGATAGCATACAATAGGTTCATCAAATATTATAGCATTCAGGGCATTGAGTTTAATAAAAATATATATATTGATCTGCTAGTTACCCAAGTTTTAATTTCATATCTGATTTATGTTTATTTTATTGATGTAATTTTCCAAACGCAGGTGAAAACATAAATGAATTATCATAATTATTAAGTCCCTTACAAGGTTTATTACCAAACCCAACACAACTAAAATATACTTATCAACCCTCAAAGAAAACAAGAAAGAAAAATAAGGAAAAATAAAATGAAGGAAAAACCTAACAAAGAGTGGAAACATTAAGTTGCATTGATGTTCGTGATGCGACGAGAAAGGAAGAAATAGAGGTTATTACATGGGCGCGCGGAGATACGAAATTTATCTTGGAGTGTTGAAAAGATCTCTCACAAGTGAGCGTAGCGAACGAGTTGGAGATTTTCAACACGAGAAAATAAATTTCGTATATCCAAGCGCCCATGTAATATTCTGTTTATTATATAATTATCCATAAAATCAACTTAACAAGCTTTTTATTATTATGAAACCCATTTTATTTATAAACTAATAGCTTAAATACACATGGTAACGATATTTTCACATGTAAAAATAACATGTTATTTTCACATGTGAAAATATCAGTTTTTCGAAAAGGAGAAATATAGGTATTTTAAGGATAATTATATGATAAACAACTTTTAATAATAGCTGCAGATATCAGAGTTACACCTAGCATTCGGGGGAACAAATACGACAAGTCAACAATAGATATTGATTTTGAAATCGCAATTTAATAAATGTTAAGTTTATATGATTATAAGATTTTGGTATACAGTTTTTCAATAGCAAATCCCATATTGGAAGCCCCACTGCAAAATAGTTGACAATACCCGTGATGTAACTTTAAACCCAAGTATCCACCGCTGATTGGATATTTTTTATCATCAATAAGAGGACAGATAGATAAGCTGACATTRACGATCGCGATCTCTTTCCTTTAAATGTTTTCCTAAAAACTGAGGTTGTAACAGTTAACGAAACTAGTTTTTTTAAAGGCTAAAATACACATAATGCGTATAAGACAATAATATTAAGAAACTTGATAAAGGTACTTTTAGAACCACAATTTAATAAAGAATACTAGATGATGTTGTCGAGATGACAGCGAAACGTTGTCTTTTACAACTAGTATTCTTATTAAATATTAAGAAAGTGAGAATTCACTAGTTTAAATTATGACTATTGTTTCAATGTCTTTTGAGGCTTCAATAAAGAATGTCACAAGGACTTTTCCTAAAAACCATAAGTTTTTATCGTCTTTGTCATTATCGACTACGCCTCGTGGATCCACACTACTTGACAATATGTTGAAACAATTTATCGTCAATAAGAGGACAGTCTCACTTTTTCAGTCATTTGTTGCCTTGGCGACCTCGACTGTCCCTGCAGAAGCGTCGAACTTTTTGTCGGAAGACTAGTACTTTCCCTGTTTAACAACAGCAATGCAATTTTGGCGTTGTTTCCTACATCGAAGTAACCGCATCAAAAGACGTCGAAACCTTTCGCTCTGCAAAGTATAAACGAACGGGTTTATAGCGGAATTACATGCAGACAGCACCACGCTAGCTACAAATGGAATCTTTGCCGCCAATGTGGTATCATTATCAAATTGGGAATTGTGATATACCAAGAGAATTGGGAGCCAAGAAGCAGCGTATACGACACTGACAATGACCATCATCTTGGTTACTCTCTTCCTTGACTTCAACACGGCTAGGTTTGTACCTTGTACTTGGTTTTGCTTGAACCAAAGAGAGTAGATGACTCTGCTGTACAGAACAAACATGATGGAAATAGGGATGACTCCAACGAAAATCAACCATAATGTGCTGTAAGTAGTAGCAACCCACAAAGGTTGCATTGACCATTGCTCCATGCACAACTGTAAATCTTTACTGAACTCCAGTGTGAAAAACGAAGGAAAGGTTAATAGCAAGGCGTAAGGCCAACAAAAGATGACGATCAATTTAAGCCTTTTCATATTTAGTTTCAGCTGGATAGAGTAAGGATGCACGATTGCAAAATATCTTTCACATGCCACAGAAACGAGAGTAAATGACGAAGCAACAGCACCTACCCAAGCAAACAATCCACCAGTTAACACCGTACATAATATTTTCCCCGCAACGCCTTCAGAATGAGTGAAAAAGGAGATGAAAACATACTTTGGAGCAATGAATATCCCTACCATCATATCAGCWACAGCAAGGTTGACGAGGAGGTAGTTCATTGGTGATTTCATGGATTTATTGGTCAGAATGATCAGTATGACCAGGATGTTCCCTATTACGTTAGCCGCTATTAGGATAGACAAAGACACAGCAACGCCAACTTGAGCCGGTTTGTTATTGGTAAAAAGTTGAAACATGGTTGGTCTGTATATTAATTATCTGAAAATAATTACACATATAATTAGATTCAGAAGTGATTGATGGATTGGATATATTGTTTGGATTTGCTGACAACTACTAAGAAAATGATGGGTTTGAATTTTTTTCTTTCTCTTTTCTTGTGCAAGGTTTACATGTCAGCTGTTCGATATGACGTTACTTGCTTAAGATGGAAACATGTGAGATGGATGTGTAGAGGGGGAAAATATAATCAAGGGAAAATATTACAGAAAAGCATCTTGTTTATTAACCTGAGGGTCAAGGATATTTGTTTATTGACACGACCTTCCCTCTTTTAATTAGGAAGTACTTTTTGTAGTAAACAACAGCTGCAAATCTATTGTACTTTTTCAGTAAAAACAGGTTCTGGTCATGTACAACTTTGTAAATGCGTATACCGGCGTACTGGGTAAAGAGCAGGGTTGTTTGCTGTACAAACAATCACTTCCTAAGCCTTCTTCTGATCTCTTGTTCAGAATTATCTTATTTGTAACTTCAAAAAATATTTTTATTGTAATCTGTTCTCTATTAGTTAAGCTAGAGAGCACCATCGACCGATTTGCTGGGTCAGCTCTTAGACTGAACTGAGTGCTCGTACTTTTTCCTAAAGTCAACACCTTACGTTATACGTGGCCTAACTGGTTCAATCTAGTTTGATCTAGTACAAACCGGTTATGTGACGTAGTACTCTAGCTTAGCATGCCAAGTTAGATACGAGCTCACTCAGGGTTAGTAGTGGGTTAGTAGTTAGTCTACAGTTAGTCGCATACAGAGAATTGCACACAGAGAGTCTTCATTCAGTTGTGTTTGCAGTCAGTTGCAGTTACTCTTCAGTCAGTCTGCAGTTAGTCGCAGTTAGTCAAGTCAGCAACCTCTTCTTTGTACAAGACAGGCAAATAACCTTATAGTCAAGAGCGTCTGGTCTAGAGGAGATCTATGTGTCCGTAGGGAAAGTATCACTCCCCCACTTCTCTACGTGACATGTATGTATAATAAAGTATTTGGAAGATATGTAATATTTTCATATTTTTTTTCTTCCATTCCTGATTACCTCGCTCGTCTTTTTCTTTACTTTATTTTCGTTTTCCTCTTTTCCCACTTCTTCTTCTTCTTCTTTTTGTTCTTCTTCTTGTTCTTCTTCTTGTTCTTCTTCTTGTTCTTCTTGTTCTTCTT